TAGTAAAATCAAACTTCAGTCGAAGCGGTGCCCCACTTTTTGTACAAAGTGATTGTGCAATGCATTAAAGAGATAAAAAAAGGACGAAAGGAAAAAAGAAAGAAACCCGAAACAAGGTAGCTCAGCGCTAGTGCGGACCAGCCGGGTCTCGCCAGCTAGCCGTAATAATTCTCCACGGAGCTGTTGTTGCCCATCAAACATAACTCGAGGCTCCGAAATAATTGCATCCAAATGATGGGGTTGCGTTGAAGCCACGTCCAAAATAACAGGGTTCGGAAGATAGGGAAAAAGAAGACTGGTTTCTCCATAAGCCAATCCACTAACATTCTACATGCAGGGAGGAGTCACTCCACAGAAGAACGGAGCTTCAACGAAAACGATGGAAACTACTAGAAAGATATATACAGTTCGTGTTAGTCATAACCAAAATGGCTTCAAGGTTTAAAAGGTCTCCATTTTAAAAGCACCTCCTCTCGGCCACCCCCTTATTGCAAGCCTTCTTTTTGTCCCCTCAATCAAAAACACACCTATCACTCTATCAGCTCTAATATATATATAGTTCATAAAGATACGTCTCCCATTCGCGGTTGCTGGAATAACGTGTAATTTGTTCGGGTAAACATACACTTACATGTTGGATGACGTCTAGCAGCCTGAAGTAAAGTACAGGTATTCTGGAATTTACTTGATTATTATGGAATCGCTACCTCTTAAAAGAGAGTTGAAAGAAAACAGTTTATCTTATTCAAAAAATGGTGTCTTAAAAGCCGTTCATTCCTTATATGTTGCAGAAACAACGATGTTATATTTCAGTTGCAGAAATGTGTCTATTAGCTTCTTCATATCCGTCTATTGTGCTGTCTGTATGTAAAAATTTGAAAGCAGCTGAACAAATTTCTAAGAAATTTGATATTAGGGAATTTTAATAAAACTTGATACCACATTCTGGTTAAAATCGGACAATGACGGGCACTCTTACCTGACGACCCGCGCACGTTTTTGTGCGCGGAGTGACTGGGTGGGGAATCCTCTGCGTGATATTCCAGGAGTGGGGAATCTAAGTCAGCCTCGAGGCCGCGATACGTGAGGAATCCCGATTATAACGTAATCGCAGAGCCAGACGTAAGTCATTGGTCCAGGTAACCCTGAACTCACTGGTGCCATTCTCAAAGGTCAAGCTCAACGGTAACATTTTTGGAACCGCGAAAGAATTGTTACGTTATGCGTATATCACCTAACTTATTCAAAGTAATATAATCAATTATAGAACAATTTTTTTACACTTCAGAATCGACACTAGATTTATTACTTGAGGTAGAAAACATAAACTGAATTCTTAGAATAAATTTAATATTTCTTGTAAAACAAAATACGAATGTATGACAGGCAGCAAGGACCTCTGAAGCGTCGATAGACTTCTACCAGACCAGCAATAACCCAAAAGCAAATCAGCCATCTTCAGATTCACCTCCCTGAAAACCTCAAATCTTCTATGACAAAATTATTCCTGTGTGAAAACGCCTTAATCTTTGATAGGTTCCAAGATTTGCATTCCATCTACAATAAATCACTGTTGGAAATGTTATTACGTTATCTTCTATTAAGATCACTAAACTTTGTCGCTTGAGCAGTTGTCAGGCTCAGCGGCGGTGGATGTGTGATGTCGCTTCACTCTCGTGTAGATTGTTATTTTCCGGATTGTAACACTATGTCATGTAGTTATGTAGATAGTACCATCTCATGATTTTATCGAGGGACTGAGAAAATACATGAAAAACCTTGAGTCATAATGACCGGTCTTCAGGACTAGATTTTAAATTCCAAATGCGAAGGAAATATTACCACTCGACCGTGGCGTTAGCTGAACAGACTATGGACGGCAGCTTGTGCATTTAGCAAAGTATGGCCATGTAAAATGTAAAATGGTTCTTAAGTGACAATTAAACTTTAGTAGTGTTAAATTATTCTTTAATTTTACAATTTCAATCGGCAAGGTTCAGACTGATCTGTGTTAAAATATTCCATAATACACTTGTAGGATTATATTTGCTGATATAATTTTATTGTCAATGACATTAAATGAAGGAAATAAAACTTAAACATTAATAACTCTTATTCGCGCAGTAAAAACAAGAAACGACTAGTCAGTCTGTGATCTTAGAGAATCTTATACACGTTAAACACCTGCTGGCAACAGTAAGAGAACAGAAACGTGTCTTGTGGTATTGTGTAAAATTGTCTGCGATTCGGTGCTAGGCAGCCTCATGCCAGCTGCGTAATTACAGTACAGATCTACATATTAACGCTGCACACTGATCACGACTTTTATGTCTGACTCCACACGTGTGCAATCTATCCAAATGTACCCGTGGGAAAGTCTAATTCCATAACGATTAGAATATTCAAAGCAAGGAAACTTCCTTAATTCAATATTTATGATAGTGTAGTTTCAATAACCTTTATATGTACCGTACATGTCACTTCAAACTTCGAACATTGAGGCGATACGTTAATCCGAAACGCTGGTATGATTTTCCTACATTTGAAACAGCGCCGTCAAACAACACAATGAATCAAGAGTAATAATAGAAACTTAACTGTAAACTGACATCACGTTAAGGACACAGATGCACTGATTTTTCATTCCAGTCAAATATGCCATGAATACAGTACCTTCAAGTAGCAATCATTCGTTTAGTCTTAAAACTAACTGTTTAATCATATGAACCTAATTAACTCCATGTGTAAGCCTGCGTAATATTTTGTAGCAAGTTTGTTCTTAAGGTGAGCCAACGCCCAACCCCAAGCTGGAGGACCACCCATTGTTGGATGATTGCTTATTCGCTGCCCTCCAAATCTGCAGGTTTTCTCCGTCACCCGGAATCCGAGGACGAGCCATGCTGCTGTAGCAAGGGATCAGCAATTTGTATCAATATTAGTTTAATGATGTGGCATCACATGATTAGGCTAATGAAGGCTGTGACTGAGTTGACGAGACTCCTGCTTCGTGTTCTGGAGGTCACGCGTTTCATTCTCGGCTACGACACCGTCTTCCATCAGACGAATTCCGAGGTTTTCGTTGGTCATCTAAGGCAAAGTCTGGGGAAGTATCTTAACTAATCCAAAAATGTTTCTTTCCTTACTCCTTCCGAATCATAACTCACAATAATCCTCCCATTGCGTAAGAAAGAGAACGCGTTGTTAACTAGCCTAGGAAACAAAACAACTGCGTAACAGTAACGCTTAGAGCATCGTCGTTAAATAACTCTTGAATCACTCAAGTTCCGGCAAGTTAATGCAACATAGAAAGAAAACTGGAACTGGTCAAATTTTCCAGAAATGTTTATTTGTGTCATTAATTCACCATAATTCCTTACCATCAACTTCATCATCACTTGTAGTTGATACGTAATTGAGTTGTCCACAAACTAGCATATACGAAGTTTATTCGTTAGCATTTTTGTTTAATAAATACTTGAATTT